ATCAAATAATTTTGTTTAATCTCTTCCCATGCATCTTGACTTCAAGGTCTTCCCCAATACAGAGTCATTTTTCACCTTCTCTAAAATTTTCCAAACCTATCATCATCGTACCTGTCTGTTTGAGATAAAGCACTTTTTGAATCTGTGTTTCATGCCTTCGTTGGAAATTTCCAGTGAAGTCACAAGAATCGAATTGCATAATGTTAAGACTTCTTGTTTTCTCATTTATCTAACAGGTAAATATTTGTGACCTCTACATGGTGACCAAAATTGAACTGCGTTATTAAGTGATTTTTAAAAGGCATATATGTAATAACATTCAATACTTGCATTTGTGAGAACAAACTTCCAGGAATAATGACTAATTCTTTGTTAAGTGATTTTTTTGCCCCCATTTAACCTTTATGCTACAAATAAATTCTATAAAAATCCTAAACTGGCATAGTTCACATCATTTTTCCCCCGTCCTCCAAATAGCTTCTTATTGTTCAAAACAAAAGCCCGGTTCTCTAGTCATAAGAGAACACTTATAAGGACTTGAATTTAAGGCAATTCTTTTTTGTTGAGGGATAGAAAAAAAGGAAAATGCCTTGTACTTGGACATATATGATATTCTCTCTTTTGTGGCAATATTCATTCATTTATATCTATTTTGCATGAAGGAGATTTGGTACTAAGTGTAGCAAATCAGATGTGTAAGCTGATTAGTGCCCAGGCTAGTCTTCCTCTGAGATACTGTTTTTACACTCAGGCTATACTGGTCTTAAGCATTTGCAACATTGGTAACAAGACATTCCAATTTTTTTAATGTTTGTTTATTTTTTTTTTGGGGGGGGGAGAGGGAGAGAGAGAGAGCACAACCAGGGGAGGGGCAGAGAGAGAGGGAGACACCTAAAATAGGCTCCAGGCTCTGAGCTGTCAGCATAGAGCCCGACGTGGGGCTTGAACCCATGAACCACAAGTGAACTGAAGTGGGATGCCCAACTGACTGAGCCACCCAAGTGCCCCTAGGTATTCCAATTTTTCTTAATTGCTTTTGTAAAGAGCAATTTTTTTCCCACTTAAAATATATCTACTTTCTTTGTTCCGTGTTTCTTGGGGCAATCACAAATGCAATGTATGTAGCTTCCCATATCAGTGTAAGCAAATTCACTTTGATGGAAAGAACACTTTACCACATTGGGTACCCATGTTATTCAAATTGCCAGGGAAACTCCAAGGACCAAGTGCCTTCCTCCAAACAATTTCTAGCTCTGTAATCAGCTTCCTGCAGATATTTTGCATATTCCCAACTGAGCCTATGGTAATAGTATCTTTTTTTTTTTTTTTTTTTTTTTTGCAACCTCTGTAATGATCCAGAACTGGATACATTTCTTCAAAATTCTCCTATTTGTAAAATAAACCATCCTTTTTGTTTCCACTTCATATAATTACCTGGTAGAAGAACACAAATTCATGGTGAAAAACTCAAGTTTTCCTGGTTCTCAGTTCTGAGGGGAATCTTTTCTGTTGGCCTTTTAAGCAGATTCATTGTTTTCAGAGCTGTCCCCTAACAAGATTTCACATACCAGACCTTGAGGAAAGCTGAAGTAAGAACATTAAAGCATCCTTCTATAAAAGTAAGCCTATGGAGATGGTGGTAGGGACAGGTAATTATGAAGTGATACAGTTTAGTATCTTTATATTGATATTTATGGACATCAGGATTTGAGATTATTCTTTTTAATAGCCCTCAAGAAAGTATACTGATGAGAGAAGTATCATCTGATCACTCGACAGACTCATGACAATTACTTGCTTTCAGCCACTGAATTTTGAACTGGTTTCTTACACAGCTGTTGCCAAACCAAACAACCTTATTTAATTTTTATAACAATCTTATGAAGCAAAGTAATTACTTTTATTTTACAGATTAGCAAACTGGAGATCAGAGAGGCTAAGGAATTTATCCAATGTCACAGAGCTCCTATGTGGAAGAGCTGAGATGAATGTCAGCTATGCAACCTGAATGATTTGCAAGGCCATTAAAATAGAGCCATAACGGAGAGGAGTTAATTTAGAGAAAAATAAGACAATCTGTAGCTGCTGTTCTTTATAGCATCAGGACTTTAAGTGAAGCAGAGTAAATTGATAAAGCCTAAGATAAAAGTATCCATTAACGTAGTACAGAAAGCTTCTCAGGAAACAAAGGCAGCCTGCCAACCACCTATTTTACTGCCTTGAGGGCAGTAAAGTTCTTTAGAGAGGAGCAGTCTTATAAAGAAAGGTTCATAGACTGAAGCCAGACAGGAGTATTTTGCAATACAGTAATTCTTCCAGTCCTCCAGTCCTATCTGTGAATTCAGGCCAGTCTTTTCTTTCCACCTTTTTATCTGCCTTCCATAAATACTGAGAGTGAGCAGCAAGTAAGAGTTTATCCCTGTATCAGGTCTGATGTTGTAGGGATGAATGACTCCTTCATTCCTGTAGCCAAAGAATGGACTGTATAGTAAGGCTGATGGGAAGGAAAGCGCGTAATGATAACCAGAGATATGCATACTAGGTAGGATATACAGAGCTCTCTAGGAGAACTGGGAGAGCTACTCCCCTCCATCTCAGCAGGGAATGGAAAGAGAGTTAGTCAAGGAAGCTTCCCAAAGGTGGTAATGATCAAGTTTAGTCCTCTAAAATGAAAAGGCCGTCATCTCCTGAAGGGGAAAGGAACCAAGGCCATGTGCAAAGGTATGACCTCGAAAGGATACATGGCTCTTTAAAAATGACCTCTGTCTGCACACTTTTTGGGGTGCCACACTGTGTTGTTACTGGAGTGAAGAGAAGGGATGGAAATGGTGAACCTAGAGAAGGAAGCAGGTCTCACACCATGGGAGGTCTTTCATGTACACTCAGTTGACTTTCTCTTAAGGCCAAAGGGAAGCCACTCAATGAGAGGTTTTAAGTAGGAAAGTGACATGATACAATTTTCCTTTCAGAAAGATCTTACTGAAGGCATTGCAGAAAATAGATTTAAGGGGGCTCAATTATAGGCAGGACACAAAATCATTCATTTTTTGGTGATTCAATAAATACATATTGTTTATTTTGTCTGTATCAGTCATTATGTTAGGGGCTACACAGGACAAGGAAATAGAATACATAGCATTTGTCCTAGAAATGCTCATAGCTAAGTGGGAAAAATCTAACACTGATAAATGGAAAGTTCCACGACGGTATAATAGGTGCCATCAAGGTAGTCTGACCTAACAACTGTGGGAAGACTCTGGAGACAACCACCTTTAACAGAAAGGCAAACTGTAGCTCAAATGTACTTATCAGCATAAACTCCCACTGTCAAATAGAAGCCAATAGCCAGGTTACTGTCTGCATTTGGGCTGGTTGTGCCATGAACAAATTCCCCTAGTCATGAGAGGAAAAGATAAAGCGGGTACTGTGGGTTAAGGTAGGATGGGGTTATGTGGCATTGCAGGGGGGAGGACTTCATGCCAAAAATTACCCCTTGCTGTATCATCAAACCATGCCTCTGGTGCAGATCTAGATCTGTCCAGAGCAAGGCATCACACTGTAGGCCAGTGGCAGCCCTGGCTAGCAACATGTGTAAAAGTCCGCTAAAAGAATACCATGATTATAACTAACTTATCTCTACTAGCTTTATTCTTAAAGACAGAGTCACAGATAGGTAGACAGTCACTTCCTCCTCAAATGAAGTCCCTGCAAACTAGCATTTGGTTTTCCAAACCCGGACCCTGACTTTATACATAATGAAGCTAATATAAGGTAATATGTTAAGGCAGAGACTTTTGGGAACCATAAGGAATTTTTCAAGTCTAAGTCCACTGTCTTTAACTTGTGGTTCATGAACCAACCACAGTGAAATCCAAAGGTTAAAGCTGAGACACAAAAGTTTCCAAAATACTTTAACTATGCACTCTTTTCTCAATTTTATTTTTGTCTGCAGGCCATTCTTGCAGATGAAGCCACTGAAAGTTCTCATAACCATTATTTTCATTTCCAACTTAAATAATAACTATTTCTGAGCTCTGATAACATGATCATTTTTCTTTGTGTATTTCCCAACTAGGGCCTTAACAATTCTGTAAATAAACTGACAGCAAACATTTAAATTAGCCCAGTGCTTTTCGTTTTCTTTTGCACACTCTTTCCTCAAAAAAAAAAAAAAAAAAAAAAAAAAAAAAAAGAGATTAAAAGAAAGTAAACGATCACAGACTATGAAGCAGTGAACATGGAGTTACAGTGCATGGTTACATTTGTACAGTGAAGAATTATGGGCCATGTGCCTCTTCACTGGGGAGTTGACCTCTAGACTCTTGAGTCCAACTAGAAGGAATCCAAGAATGCACTTTCCAGGAGAGCTCAAGTACTCAGGGATGTCCATGTGTGAAAAACTACACAGCGAAAATTCCTTAGGAACATAAACATGACCATGGAAAAGATGAGAGATCTAGGAGGGAGTGGAAGCATTCTGTACTAGCTCAGCTTTACGGTCCTTATTTATTATTAAGGTTACAATGTATATTTTGTAGGCAAATTTTATTGCACTAATTAACTCATTAACAACCTCTAGAGAGAAGCCAGACTTCTCTGCAGGCTGGTTTGCTGAATTTTAATGACCCAGATAAAGAGAAAAATGAGCGTTCTAGGTTCAGTGAAAGCCCTGGGACTCTACAAACAGCTCTGATTTACTTAGTGTATCGTATCATAGAGAAGTGTGAATTGTGAATTAAAACAGAGAAGAATTCCTCAATACGTATACAACACAATAGGTTTGGCTAATTTAAATAAGCAATGCTTATGGCATTTATGGCATTTTAATTTAACAGAAAAAATCAGCTTTGATTTGCTTCCCCTGCCTCTTCTGAGTTGGAGCAGGAGCCAGTTTATTCCAGAGTCCACACTAGCCAAGCAGGCTAGGGTTTCTAAGTGAGAAGAATAAGGTGAAGAGTGAGAAGGACTTGGATGTAGCTCAGCCTGCAAGGCATAACCATTTAATTGACAGTACTGATGTGATTTGTGATATTCTGAATGATATCTGATGTGGTACCCTGACCTCCGATGTCTGGAGTATGGACATCTTTGTTCTCCATGGACGCCAAGACTGCATTGCGAATGGAGGTGGCATAGGAGTGGAGCTTGAGGTAATCCAGCAAAATGCAGCTTGCCAGAAGCATGGCAGTAGGGTTGGCCATATTCTTATTGGCTAAATTCTTGCCTGATTGCCTTGAGGCTGTTTCAAACACTGCGTACGTATGGCCATAGTTTGCACCAGGCACGAGGCCTGCTCCCCCAACCAACCCTGTACAGATGTTGTTGACTATGTTGCCATAAAGATTGGGCATTACCATTACATCAAATTGCTGGGGCTGAGATACCAACTGCATGGTGGTGTTATCCACAATCATGCCTTCGAAAGTGAGCTGAGGATAGCGGGAGGCCACCTCTCTGCAACACTGTAGGAAGAGACCATCTCCCAGTTGCATGATGTTGGCCTTGTGCACAACCGTCACTCTCTTGCGTCCCATCTCCTGGGCCAATTGGAAGGCATATTCAGCAATGCGCAAAGACCTGGCCTTGGTAATGATCTTCAGGCTCTCGATCACTCCTTTCACACTCTCATGCTCCAGGTTGCTGTATTCACCCTCTGTGTTTTCCCGAACAACTAAGATGTCAACATCCTTGTGCCTTGTCTCCACTCCTGGCAGACTCTTAAAATGGATAACGTTGGCATAGAGATCCAGCGTGGTGCGAAACATATTGTTGCGGGATTTGTGAGATGGTGGCAGGTTGTGGTCAGTTTCGATGTTGCCCTTCAAGGCCACGCAGTTTCGACGGACTGCCATGATGGCATTGTGAACGTCCTCTTCACCAGAAGTGGAGTTAACTATCACCTCCTCGAAGTCCACAGGCACACATGCATGTCTGAACACAGTCTTAACATGCAGCATAAGTTCAGGCCCGATGCCATCCCCAGGAATCATAGTCACAGTGTGTCGCCCACCATACTTGGCTGATGGAGGAATACCGTGTTTAAAAGAGAAGCTCCTCGGTGAGGTCTCACGGCCAAATAAAATCTCCCAAGAATGGCAGAGAGGAGAAGGTTGCAACATGGCTTTCACAAAGCAACTGGCAGCTGTCAGCATCTTCAGCACCATGATCATTAAGGAGAGGTTAACTTATGTAAAAATACACAATCTTCCTCTTGTTTTAAATTGGCTTCTTCTAGGGGCGCCTGGGTGGCGCAGTCGGTTAAGCGTCCGACTTCAGCCAGGTCACGATCTCGCGGTCCGTGAGTTCGAGCCCCGCGTCAGGCTCTGGGCTGATGGCTCAGAGCCTGGAGCCTGTTTCCGATTCTGTGTCTCCCTCTCTCTCTGCCCCTCCCTCGTTCATGCTCTGTCTCTCTCTGTCTCAAAAAAAAATAAACATTAAATTGGCTTCTTCTAGCGGAATTCTAGGTCCATAATTCTTGTGTAGGTCACAACTGTCTCTTCTGCTTGGTATTCTATTCTGACAGACATTCTACTGCAGTGAGAGAGATGTGAAGTATCATATAGAAAGTATATTTATTCAACGTACTAACCTCTGCATGATATACTTTAAAAAAAAAATGGGCTATATCAGGCCTTCTGTAATACTATACAGAAGTTTTGGGTTCACAGCAAAACTGAATGGCAGGTTCAGAGATTTCACAGAGAGCACCTACATCCCATTAAATTCCCTCCCACTATCAAAATACTGCACCAGAGTGGCACATTTGTTACAACCGATGAACCTACATTGACACAACATTTTTACCCAAAGTCCATAGTTTAAATTAAAGTTCACTCCTAGTGTAATAATTTCTGAGTTTGGACAAATGTATAAGGAGGTGTGTGTATCTACCACTATTGCACCATACTGTAGAGTTTCAAAGCCCTAAAAATTCTGCTCTGCTTTGCTTACTTATCACTGCCTCCCCCTAGCCCCTGGTAACCACTGATCTTTTAAGTGTCTCCATAGTTTTGCATTACCCCAGGATGTCATATAATTGAAATCACATTGTATGTAACATTTTCAGATTGGCTCCATGGATTTAGTAATATGTATTTAAGGTTACCTCGTCTTTTCATGGACTGATATTTCATTTCTTTTTAGCACAGAATAATATTCCATTTTCTGGATGTACCAGTTTGTATATCCACCTACTGAAGGACATCTTGGTTGTTTCCAAATTTTGATAATTATGAATAAAGCTGCTATAATTTTGGTAATTATAAATATGTGCAGGTTTTGTGTGGACATAAGTTTTCAACTTACTTGAGTAAATATAAATAACAAGGACTTCTGTATCCTATTGTAAAAGTATGATTAGTTTTGCTAGAAACTGATCAACTGTCCTCCAAAGTGGTTGTACTATTTTGCATTTCCACCAGCAATTAATGAAAATTCCCATCGTTCTACATCCTTGTCAGAATTTTTCGTCAGTGTTCCAGATTTTAATCATTCTAATAGGCACCTAGGGATAGTTCATTGTCTTAATTTGCATTTCCCTAATGAGATAAAACGTAAAGTATCTTTTCATATGCTTATTTACCATATTCTCTGATGTGTTATCTTTCAAGGTTTTGGCCCATTTTTTTTAATTGCATTTTTGTTTTCTTATTGTAGAGTTTTAAGAGTTCTTTACATATTTGGAATGCCGGTCTTTCATCAGATGTACCTTTTGCAAAAAACTTCCCCCAGTCTGTGGCTTCTCATTCTTTTGACATTATCTTTTTTTAGAGAAGTTTTTTAATTTTAATGTAGTATATGTTTTTAAATATTTCTTTCATGGATCCTGAATTTGGTGTTGTATATAAAAAGTCATCACCATACTCAAGGTCGTCTAGATTTTCTCCTACATTATCTTTTAGGAGTTTTATAGTTTTGCATATTACACATAAAGCTATGATTCTATTTGGAGTTCATTTTAGTGATGAATTTAAGGTCTGTGTCTAGATTAATTTTTCTGCATGTATATGTCCCCTTGTTCCTGGCACTATTTGTTTAAAAAACTATCTTTGCTCTAGTATGTTGGTTTTGTTCCTTTGCCAAAAATCAGTTGACTATTTCTGGGCTCTCTATTCTCTTCCATTGATTTATTCATCTGTTTTTCTGCCAATAACAGTATCTTAACTAGTGTAGCTTTATAGTAAGTCCTGAAGTTGAGGACTATAAGTTTTCCAGCTTTGCTCTTCTTCAATACTGTGTTAGCTCTTTGTGGTTTTTTGTTTTGTTTTGTTTTGCCTCTCCATATACGCTTTGGAATTGCTTTGTTGATATCCACAAAATAACTTACTGGATTCTGATTAAATTTGTATTGCATCTACAGATCAAGTTGTGAAGAACTGATAACTTGACAATATTAAGACATCCTATCCGTGAATAGAAAACATCTCTATTTAGTTCTTCTTTGATTTTATTCATCAGAGTTTTGTAGTTTTCCTCATATAGATCTGGTACATATTTTTGATTTATACCTAAGTATTTAATTTTGGGGAATGCTAACATAAGTGATATTGTACTTTAAATTTCACTTCTTTATTACTTGCATATAGGAAAGCAACCAACTTCTGTGTATTAAACTCCTATCTTGAAATATTGCTATAATCACTTATGGGTTCTAGTTTTGTTGATTATTTCACATTGTCTACATAGATGATCTTGTCTGCAAACAAAAACAATTTCTTCCTTTTTAATTTGTATACCTTTAATTTCCTTTTTTTGCCTTAGTGCATTAGCTAGAAATTCCAATATAATATTGAAAAGGAGTGGTAAGAGGAGACCTCCTTAGCTTGTACCTGATCTTTGTGGGAAAGCTTTGTGTTTCTCAAGTATGATGGTAGCTGTAGGTTGGATGTGGCTCTTCTTTATCAAGTTAATGAAATTCCCCTCTAGTTCTAATTTACTAAGAGCTTTTATCATGAATGTGTGTTGGGTTTTGTCAAATGCTTTCCTGTATCAATGATATGATCATGTGATTTTTCCTTTTTTATCCTGTTAAAGTGATGGATTACATTAACAGATTTTTGATTATTGAGCCAGCACTGCATACCTGGAATAGATTTCAATTATGGTATATAATTCTTTTTCTACATTGATGGATTCAGTTTGCTAATATTTCGTTAAAGATTTTTGCATCTTTGCTCATGAGAGAGATTGGTCTTTCATTTTCTATTCTTGTAATGTCTTTGTCTGGTTTTGTTAGTAGGGTAATGTTGATCTTACAGAATGAGTAGGGAGTATTTTCTCTGCTTCCATCCTCTGGAATAAACTGTATAGAACTGCTTTTCTATCTTTTTTTTACAGTTCATTTATTTATTTAGAAAGAGAGAGTACATTATTGGGTTAGGGGCAGAGAGAAGGAAAGAGAGAATCTTCACTGTCAATGCAGAGCCTGACGTGGGGCTCAACCTCACAA